GACCTCATACACAAAACACTAGTTCAAAGATAAAATCATTAAGAATTCCAAGACATCACCAGCAGAGCAATACGCCAAATGCTGGACCCCCTGATGGAGAGGCCCTGTGTGATCACGTAGATCAGACATCCATGAAGCTCATGCCTCAGTTTCCTTGCACTTGCTGTTCCCTCTGCCTAGAAAGCCTTTTCAAGCCATGTTTATATGCTCTACTCCTTTTCTTCATTCAGGCAGTGTCAACTCTTCAGGCTTTCCCTGAGTGCCCTATGCAATGCCTCCCCACCCCCACCCCCACTCCCACCATCATTTCGTCAGAGTACTCTATATTATTTTCTTCATGCCGCGTAGAGGCATCTGAATGCATCTTACGTATGTGTTTCCTTGTTCACTGCCTGACTCTTCCCCTAGAATGGTGGCTCCAGGAGAGCCATGCCATTGTCTAATATGGTCACTATCTGATCCAGCTCCTGAAAGCTCCCCTGGCACAGGGTAGGTGCTCAATGCACATGATGGAATGCATGCTCAAAAGAATGCATTACTGTGCTGATGCACATGCCTAGACCACACCTCATGGTTTCTTCTCAACAAATATTAATTAAATGATAAATGTGCATAAGACAATGCATTTAGTAGCATTCAAGTTCCTTGCAAAGAGAGAATATGCAAAAGAATTAACTAGGACATCGGTGATAAGATAAATTACTTAAAACAGATATGTGGGAAAGGCCACATTTCTCCTCCACTCTCGCTCATTTCCCTTTTCCTTTTCTTGAAGTAAAACCATAATATTAAGCTGGTAGCAGCCTGGCTGTTGCCATAACAACAGACTTTGCAGATGCAAACTTTCAGCTGAGATGAAACCACATGATGGAGAAAGAATTGTGTGGCCAAGGCCTATTGGAAATAATTACAAAGGTGACAGAGGAAAGAATTAACCAAGTAAATTGGTTTTGAACAAATGCATCTTCTTAGGAAGATAAGGAAATAGAAGATAAAGTTGAATCACACCTAAAAATATATATCTGTGGTGGAAAGTCACACAAAGTCAAAAAAAATTTTTTTCCCCATTTTGTGAGGAAATAAAGTCAAATATAAGCTGATCTGGAAGAAATAGCACCCTTCAGACTGCACTTAGGTCACTTCTAATTCAAGTTAAAACTGAATTGGCCTGGCTTTGCCTGCATTTCAATATATTTTTATGCAATTGAAGGGTTCTTGAAAATTGTGGGTAAATCAAATATCTAAATATCAAATTGGAATCCAAGTGCACTGGATGGTTTGGTTTTTAAAGGAACTTTGGGAAAATCCTTCTGTAAAGAAAATAGTTCCTTTGTTATAGGACTAGGCATTTCTTCCTATGTAGATATTACAAGTTTTTATGTGATAGACATTCCTAAAGACAAATTCTCTCAGTGACCAAAGCAGCATAGTTAACTGATTATTTTCAAACGGCATCATCTTTCTGGGTCTCAGCTTGTCCACATGAAGATGGGAACCTGATGATTTGCCAGTCACCACCCTCACTAATTGAACATCTTTGGTTGTTTTTTAAAGTTCTCTGATTTCATTTCTTAAAGAGCACACATGAATCAAATACCGTGATGGCTGTCCAATCAGCTGTTTGTTTTCCCTCAAACATTCCTCCTCCCCTGCATACCTTCTTTATCAGTCAAACATAGACTTTACGTTTGTTCCTTTTGGATCATGTAGGACTTTTGATTTCTGCTATTTGGGGACTTTGTTTCCTTGTTTAAACCCAGAAAATCAAACAACAATAATAAAAATATTAGTGAAACCAAGATGAACTCCTTAGGCCAGAAAAACAAAGGCAGAAATACACAAGTGGGATTACATCAACCTAAAAAGCTTTTGCACAGGGAAGGAAACCATCAACAACATGAAAAGGCAACCTACTGAATGGGAGAAGATATTTACAAATGATATGTCCAATAAGAGTTTAATATCCAAAATATTTAAAAAACACATACAACTCAACATCAAAAAAACAATCCGATTAAAAAATGGGCAGGGGACCTTAATAGACATTTCTCCAAAGAAGACATGCATATAGCCAATAGACACATGAAATGATGTTCAACATCATTAATCATCAGGGAAATGCAAATCAAAACCACAGTGGGATATCACCTTACACCTGTCAGGATGGCTATTATCAAAAAGACAACAAATAAATGTTGCAAGGCTGTAGAGAAAAGGGGACCTTCATGCACTGTGGTGGGATTGTAAATTTGTGCCACCACTATGGAAAGCAGTATGGAGGGTCCTCAAAAAATAAAAAAATAGAACTACCATATGATCCAGCAATTCCAGTTCTGGGTATTTATCTGAAGAAAATGAAAACACTAATTCAAAAAGATATATGCACCCTTATATTCATTGCAACAATATTTACAATAGCAAAGATATAAAAGCAACCTAGGTCTACATCAATAGATGGATGGATAAAAGAGAAAGAGAGAGAGAGAGAGAGAGAGAGAGAGAGAGAGAGAGAGAGAGAGAGAGAGAGAGAGGGAGAAATGTATACACATTTTAAGATAGGAAAAAACTGTATTAATATATACTGATAATAAAATATGAATACAAGTCATGTTCGACTTCTACAATTACAAGAGATGCTCAAAGTGGTTATCATCAGTATCCAGACACTTCTGATTACAGCTAACTACTGTTTGAGCAACATTGACCAAAGTGTTAACATCTCTTAAAACCTGTATACATTTTTTTGGTACCCCGGTAGATAGATGATATAGATGTAGATATAGGTATTGTTATATCGATATATATAGATATATAGATAGATACAGATATAGATATAGATATAGATGATGTAGATATAGATATAGATAAGATACACACACACACACACACACACACACAAGGTCAGGCAATTAAGTTCAAGAGCTTTCCACTGTGTAAGTGCATATGTACATTTATACAGTGGAATACTAGCCATAAAAAATAATTAAATCTTACCATTTATAACAACATAGATGGACTTACAGGGTACTATGCTAAATGAAATAAATCAGACAGAAAGACAAATAACATGATTTCATGTATATGTGGAATCTAAAACACAAAACAAATGAACAGAAAAATAAAACAGAAAGACTCATAGATACAGAAAACAAATTGATAGTCACCACAAAGAAGGAGGGTGGGGGAATAGGTGACAACGGTGACCAGGTTAATAGGTACATACTTCCAGTTATAAAATAAATAAGCCACGGGGATGTAAAGTACAGCATAGGGAATGTAGTCAATAATATTGCAGTAACTTAGTATGTTAGCAAATGGTTACTAGACTCATCATGATGATCACTTCCTGAGGTGTATAAATGTTGAATCACTATGTTCTGCACCTGAAAATAATATAATATTGTATGTCAACTATACTTTAATTTTAAAAAAAGAAAAAAATGCCTATCTAAAGTCCAAAAATAAATCCCTAAATAAACAAAGATGAATTCTTCTCTAGGCATCATTACAGGGTTTTTGGAGAAATAAAATTATGGAAATATAATAAACACATAACCACCTAGGGCCTCTGTATTAATCAATGTCTGTTTGGACAAGACTTCAATTAAAGAAGAAGCAACTCACACATACGTGTATCCAAACAGTGACTTGTTTGTTCTTTTGTCTGCTTCCAGGAAGGGTCATTGCTTAGGTCAGCAGCAGAACAATTATAAATCCCTGTATGCATTTATATTATATTAAGTTGACTTTGCCAAATTCTAAAGTGATAGTGCAGGATGATTCCCATTTTCATGAAAAATTCAAGGTTTATCTGTGTATGTGTCCTATTATTCAAATACCTCTTCCCTTCTTACTGTACCTTATTAGTTTTATACCAGTCATCTAGAAAGGTATATCCTGAACCCTAACTTGCTTTCAATCCAACAGCTATTTACTTGGTTTTAGCAGTGTGCTTGGCACCAGGGATAAGACAGAAAGAGTTCCAGGAGCCTACAGTCTCATAGGAAAAAGAAGTCAGGCTCAGGCATGCTGACGTGGAGTTAAACAATGGTGGATACCACCGAAGACGGTGGAGTAGGCTATGAGTCAGAAATCTGAATTTCAGAAAATGATGGAGATGAGAGTGGTGGGGAGACCTAGGAGGCGGAAGAACCTGAGCTGGATCTTAAAGAATGAGAAGAATGTGGCCAGCCAAAGAGGAATGGGAAAAAATATTCCCATTGAGGAGACGCGTAAGAAGAAAAACCCAATTCTACTCACCGTCCACCATCTCAGGGTACTGCTGAATATCCTACGGAATACCCAGCACTAGTAAGGGCTCATTACCTCTCTTGTCTGCCTAGTCTAGTGTGTCCTTCTGCTACGCTGCGTTCTCCCAGGCTCCTCTTTGTCAGCATATCCTCCGCCCTGCCTCGTAACGGTCAGCAACAAAGCTTTGGCCCTGTCATTTCCACGCCCAAAACCCTTCAGTGGCTCCAACACTCCAAAAGAACTAAACAACTCCATAAGCTAGATTTATAACCAACAGCAAATATTTTCTTCCTTTTTTTTTTTTTTCCCTCTCGCTCTGTTTCATATCTTACATGGCAGAGCACTGGAGACATCCATCATTCCCTTTCTCTCTTTTCAAATTCCCAAATGCTTTCTCAAACACTCAGTCCAGTCCAACATCGTGCCCTTTCTTCCCATCTGTCTACAGTTATAACCTTCCACCCAGGAGTCGATCTCTACCCTTCCCAATGCAACTCCAGGTCGTCTTCCAGAACTTTCCAAACTGCCTTCCCCACCCATTAGCCTGATTGGCACAACCAAAGCAGGCAAAAGCACCCAAAATCTCCCTTAGACAGTGAGCGAGTAGAAAGGCTATGTATGCACTTTACATTTTTCTGTTGAAGATATTATCTCATTAAATATCCCCAAGAGCCTTTTCATGTACACTCACTTATTACAGATAAACACTTGCCCCAGGCCCAAGTTAAGAATGGAAGTAGGGCTTGTACCTCTGGTCTGTTTGCCTTTAGAGCTCAAGGTCCCATCCGTGACAGTGCACTGTCTCCTTTTGTGCCTTGCAGAAAATAGATGTCCACAATTCCTTCAAGAACAAAAATGCTATAGAGGCCTGGTTGTTCCAAGACTATCGAGCAGCACGTGCACTGAACAGTTATGTGGATTTTTCAGCATAATCGTGGGGCTGGCAGACAAGGAGGGAGGAAGCCCAGGAGTCCTGCCTTTCTTTGCAGCCTCCTCAGATGACTTGAACAGCTTTAGAAGCTTTTCACTTAAGGAAATTAGAGGCTTAATACCAGCAGCACTGAATGTTTCTTAAGAGCTTGTCGCCCTCGAATCTGAGCAGCTGTGTGCAAATTAATCAGTGATTTGCAGGCTACACAGAGCCGAGCTTGGGGAAACAGCTGGGCATATTTATAAAAGTTTGTCAGGGATGTACCAGCATGTTCAGAGATACCTTCTTCCTTAAGTGTCATTTTGCTGGCAAAGAAAAGGAGAAAGCGAGACAGATCCTGCCGGTGTCTGGAGGATTAATGAAAGCCTGGCAGAAATCTGACACTGAATATCTCTTCGCGTTCTAATTTTGGAGGAGATTTCCATGAGAGGGTCTGGGGAGCCCAACTGCGGCAGGCACAGTTCTGATCAGTGACTTGTATGATAACTACAGTGGCATTCAATTTTCAGTAAGTGCTGCCAGCTGCCCTGCGGAAGAGCTGACATCAGCTGGGGTCCGATGTGAAGTACCATGGCCAAACCAGCCCCATCTCTGCCTTCCCCTCTCTCTGCTTCTAGCCCCCACCCAAATTTAGAGAAAGAATGAAAGAAAACACACCAGAGAATTCACAGTGGGTCTATGTGTGTCTAATATGTCATGACTCACCTTTTTATCTTTAAATGCATAGAGAGAAAGCACAGATGATGAAAAGAAGTCAACATACAGACTGAGAGAAGGGAGCAAACTGCTCTGGAAAAACTAATTGACAAGATGGTATAACCAACCCACTTTTGGAGATCAAAGGTCCTGTTTTAAGCTCCTTTGCTCACTTAATTTGACCTATTTGTGTGTCTTTGTCAAGACATTACCCTGGATGTTTCCAGACCCCTTCCCAATACCAAACTAGATATCTTGTGAAACTTGAACTAGCTCACATTTAGTGAACAGTCCCTAACATTTGCTTAGAATCCAACTGTAAAGCCCTGTACATTGATTTAAAAGTTTGGTTCCCAGTTAACTTGACACTTTGCGTATATCAATTATTGAAACATCCAATTTTATGATCCAATGGGATGTTAGAAAAGAACTAGCTGAAGTCCAGGTGAGGGAAACTAAGCCATGAAACGTGGAGTAACTTCTAAGGTCTCATTGCTGGATAAGAGAAGAGCTGCAGATAGAATTTGAGCTCCTCCAGTCCAAGGCATAAGGTGGACAAGGAAGCTGAGGAAGTGATTAGTTAGTAGATTATCTGAACCAGAGGGAGATCAAGAACTGCAGTTCTACTCCAGGCCTATAAATAGTGTTGCCAGAGGAACTACAGGATACCCAGTTAAATATGAATGTCAGATAAACAACAAATATTTTTTGAGTGTAAGTATACCCAATACAATATTTGGGATATACTTATACTCAGAAAGTATTTGTTGTTTATCTAACATTCACGTTGAACTGGGCATCGTATATTTTTATGTTTTAAATCTGGCAACCAGTAAAGAAAGAAAATGAAAAATATTTGGCATCACAACCATGGTGGACAGGCCCTCTGTGTTCCTGCCCATTACCTGGTTCTGCCACACAGCTCTGCGTGTCCTTGCCTCTGCCTTCCGAACTAGAATTTGTCCTAGCACCATATCTAGGTCTCTGGCACTATGTCTTTCTGTTTCCCAACTTCCTATTAGAGACATTCTTCAAACTTAGGTTTTGCATTTTCTTTATACAAAAAAGTTTACCAGAGGGCCGGCCGAGTGGCTCAGTTGGTTAAGTGCTTGCTCAAGAGTTTGAGCTCTGAGCAACAGCGGTTCGAGTCCAGCCTGAGCTGAGCAGCCGCTGAGCTGCCAACAGGTAGCAGGATGGCTCAGCTAAAAAAAAAAAAAAAAAAAAACTTACCAGAATTCACTGGGGGGTTGCTTATGTAAAGTTCTGGTTAAAAGTATTGTGCAATTACTAGTGTATTTTTCTTTTCTTTTTTTTTTATCATACTCAAGTGTGTATACAGACATTTTTAATGCATTCCTGTATCAGGAATGCACTCACCTGCAGTTAACATAGAAGAATGATTTAACCTTCTCACAGTCGGTTGTTGACAGCATTGATTCAGTGGCTCCACATCACTAAGGCCCACCCTTCTGCTGCTCTCTGGATCTTTCTTTCATGATAACAAGATGGCTGCTGAAGCTCCAGCCTTCATATTTACATTCCATCAAGAAGAAAGAGAGGAGAGGTGCCAGCTCTGTTTGTCCTTTAGTTTAGGAAAGCAAATCTTCTCTAGGAACAACCTGACCAGTCCAGGTCTCATGGATACTCCTAGCTACAAGGGGAACGTGAAAGGAAACAACAGGATTTCATGAAAGGCTCAGACCAAACATCTTCCACTGCCAAGGCTGGACACATTACTGCCTGAACAAAATCAAGATCTTCTTTATAGGAAAAGAGGTGAAATGAATACTGAGAGTCTGCCACAATTCTTTATCTTCAAATACATTTGAGATTTGTCCTATTGGGGATCTTTGTTCCCCTTACAATCTAAGACTTCACTAGAACTTAAACATTGCAAATGATGCCAGCTACAGAGAGACCATTTCATTATATTTTGGGCGAGTTCCAGTGCCTAGTCCAGTGTATAACCTACAAGTACTGAAGAAATGTTTGTTGCTGACTGACTTAGAAGATGAATGAAAAACGTGACCGAGATAAATAACAAAAGAGGAGTTTTAGTGTAATGATTTCCATTGCTGACTGCCGTAGTCTCCTAATGGTAATTTTTTTTAACTTAAAAAGGTTTGTTTTTACTTGATAGCTGAGTAATGCAGAAGTAGTCTATTACTATTACTAATACTAGTAATATCTTAGGACTATATTACTACAGTAAATATAGTAACACAGAAAACCTTACTGTTATACAATATGAGAGTACAATACATGAAAGTCTCCCCTTACCCACTCCAGCATGTCCCTTCCCCACAGGTAACTGTGTGTACTGTCTGGGTATCACCACAGTTCTGTGCACATCCTTTCCATTTTTTTCTACCTGCTGACATTCATCTGTGCACACAAATGCACACATTTTTTTTTATGGTTTTGGTTTGCTTGTACTGTATACAGAGTCACATAAATGCAAATCACACCACCGTACATACCGCTTTTTGGTGTTTTGTTTAGTTTTGTTTTACTTGACAATAAGTCCTGCAATTCTTTCCAGGTCAGGGGCAGGCATGTTTCATTTTATTGCACTTCACAGATGTTGCACTTTTTACAAACTGAAAGCAAGACCCTCCACCAGAAAAAAAAAAATTACAACCTCCTTTATTGTGATACTCACTTTACCGCAGTGACCTGGAACCAAACCCACAATCTTTCTGAGGTATGCCTGTACATAGAGAGCCTCCTTGTTTTATTTTAGAGAATCCTATAGAAACACCTTACATATATCTAGCACTTTAGCATTTGTAGAGTCCTTTCACATATATTACTTCATCTGATCTTTACCACTTAGATCATCAGCCACATGTTTTATAGATAAAGAATCCAAAGGTCAGAGAGGTTGTCAAAATCAGAAGTTAAACCCAGGTCCAGCTACTGCCATCCCAGTGCCCTATTCCGACAAAGCGTCTGCCTACAGACTAAACTTGCCTGTGACCATGTGACCCATGTGCATTATTAGAACATTATTGCTTGGGCAAGTTTCTTTAATCTTTAATACCTGTGATTCCCCAAATGTATAACTGCTTGATCTAAGTTACTTAGAAGAGAGGAGGAGAGAAGAGAAAAGGTCGTGGGAGAAAGGAAAGAGAGAAGGAGGGGGGGTGTCTGGCAGCAGGCTTAGGGAAATTTAAACCATAAGGACCTCTTTCTGATGAATTTTTCACATACAAACTGTAAAAAAAAAAAAACGAGCTGTGAGCAAACCTATGCAAGTTTTAACAGAGCTGGGGTGATGTCCTTGGAGTCAGCATGAAAAACTCAATACTTGAATCTGACCTGGGATTGGAGTACATACACACTTCCCAGGAGAGCAGCTATCCCAGCTCTTTCTGCCTCCAATTCCTAACACATGACTTTCCATCAACACAGAGCCATACCCCAAGAGAAAGCTGGTGATATCCTCACCCAGCAGATTTGGGTTTCCTCAAATACTTTAAAGGGCACTATCACACATGCTTCCAAATCTGAAAACAACTTGGAATGCCTCTTCCAAGGGTCATAAGAGAAAATCAATACATTCTGATTTTCTCCTCCGTTAAACTCTCAATGACTGAAACAGTAGTGTAGCTGGGGAGTTTAGTAGCTCAACAACCACATACTAAATTCTACTCCTTCAAGATTATAGGGCCTTATTTAGGTGCCTATTGGTAGAGCTTTAGGGCTTTAATGGGTTCAAAAATGCACTAGTAACCGGCAAAAATAAATAGAGCACTCACGTAAGTATGAAGATGATTATTTGTGGAATCATCTGGCCTAAGAGCTTTCCTCGTCGCACGGTCACTAAATGCCACAACACTATTAAAGCTCACAAATAAGAGAGATTGTTAAGTGAAATGGTGCCGTGAAATTGGTGAGCAAAGATTTCAGAGGCACTCTGAATTTTTCCCAGCTAGAAGACAGACCACGTTATACGTAAGATGGAGAGGGACGCTCTAGGACTCAGTCATCCTTGAGCCCTCTCTTTTCCTACTCCACACATCCAATCAATCATCAAATCGCATTGGATCAATTGCCAGAATTCATCGGGGATCCATCTACTTTTCTCCCTCTCCACAGTTACGACCACAGTCCCTACAACATCATCTAAGACCTGGATTCCTGTGAGTCCCAGGCTGGCCTCCCTCCTTCTGCTCACTTTCAATGTACACTTGACAAAGCAGTACATCGCGCCACTCACTAGCTTAAAAATATTCTAATGGCTTCCCATCTGTATTTGTTTCCTAGGGATGACATAACAAAGCACCACAGAATGGGTGGCTTAAAATGACAGAACCTCATTGCCGCATAGCTCTGGAGGCTGGAAG